TTGAATCCAGGTCTGATGTTTTTAATTTCTTATTTATTTTATTTATATTTTATTATTATAAGGTTTTACTTAATCTTTTTTAATATCTTTCTAATTATATAGAATTAGTGGTACAAATATATAAATAGAAGAAATAAAAGTTAAAAAGAAAATATTTCCGAGAAGAGCTGCCGCAAACATAATTCATTCTGAACTTTTGTTTCTTTTCTTAATTGGAAAAGCATAGTGTTGGTTGTCGATCAACTGTAGTCCTTATATTTTAGAATTCTAAAATATAGTCAATTTTAGAATTCTACCATTTTGTCCTCAATTTCATCAGTTTTCGTCCTTTTACTTTGTGAAATATTGTAATTTAATTCCAAATTTATGATTTTTAAAAGTTTAAGTCCTATCCTACACAAATATTGAAAATAATTTGAAATCAAGTAAAATCATATTTAATCCATCCAAAAGTTAATAAAATTAAGGCTAAATTACCATTATATTACATACAAAAAAACCCTTATCTTATGTATAAGAATTCAACTTATCATATACTATAAAGAAAATTAATAAATTTTGTATGAAAGTTTTATTATTAAAACTTTTGTTGAACTGTTAATACTATATTAATTTTATAAGAAAGAGACAAGAAATAGAAAAAGGAAACCAAAAGGATAGCAATATATAAAACAACTTTCGAATGAGTACAAAGATACTTTCACTCCTAAGGCATAAAGATAAGTGGAAAAGAACTAATAAAAAATGATTTTATTAATTAATATGCCGTATAATATGTTGAATTAAAGTGTATATCAATTAGTATCTAAAATAAAAAGTTGGATGAGCACGGACCACCCTTGAGATTCACTCGAGCTTTTATTAAAACCATGTCATCCTTGCCTCAAATCTTGCAATTAGAGATTCCAGGTTCTCCCGCTCCCCTGGTTTAACTGATGCATCCAAGAGCTGGAAAATATATAAATGATGGCCGGTGGATTCATTGTCAATATTTTGAAAAAGTTATGGTTGAACCAATTGGGAGTATGTGTTACGGAAATACATAGCACATCAAGTGGGAGTATTGATCCTGTATATATCATGCCGTTTGTCGCCTGGGGAATGCATAGATTCTTTCTTTCTGAATTTGTGATTGTCAAAAGCCATACACTAGAAAAGCTTTGCAAAGTCAAAAACCTTCTAATCAGGCAAAAGGATAGATACTGAATGTGGAGGAAGACTAAAAATTCTATGTTCTCTTTTTTTCACTGGTGTAATTCCTCTAGTCTATGTGTTCAAGAAATTATTAGAAGTTAGTTTTGCATAGGCTTTAAGCCCCTCCTTTTTTGTATTGGCTTAGAATGCCTTATTTGTTATTATTATGTAATGTGTTTTGAGACTATGGGTGGAGTACCCCTTGTACTCCGTATGATAATACATACTTTGATTCATCTAAAAAAAAAAAGGCATACACTAGAGTACACACACAACTTAAATATATGCTATGTACGACACCTCAACCCTTTCAATTTGAACTACACCAGATGCTTAAGTGGTATAAGAGACAAAACTTTGATGTAAGAAATACGATGATTTTTTCATATATATATATATATAGAACAATGATTTGTACACATTTCGGTTTAACATATTGTATGACACATTCATTAAAAAATAATTATTTTTTAATATGAAATTAAAGACAGATAAATTTGAACCAAAAGGGAAGGGTATAATGGGGCTGCTGGGTGGGTCATTGTCCAGCATAAGTATCAGGCCATGGTACCGGATGTTGGCCTTGTTTTGTAAGTCTCAATTCTGCAGTTTGTAGCCTAGTTTGTATTATGAGTTAGAGTACCCTTGTACTCTGCATTAATATCATTTTATTCATTTTGCTGATAAAAAAAAAAAAACAGATAAATTTAATGATATAATTATACACAAATGATACATGAATCGGTTGAATTGATTGTATTTATATTATATTTTTAATAACTAAACTAAGAATGTGTCAAAAAATATGTTAAACTAAGGGTGTACCAATCATTTTCTATATATATATATGTTAGAGTTAGGATACTGTTACACCTATGTAAGAATAAGAAATTTTTATACAATTAGAATTTTAAAAAATCAATATTTTTTTTTTCTTGTAACCTCCTCGGTTTTGCATGGTTTTGAAATGACAACTGAAAAGTATTTATCAAACCACATAATTTTGAGATGAGAAACTTTTAAGTTGGTAGGATTGACAAACACATAATACAATACTAAAAAAAAGGATAGAAAGAAAGAAATGTTAATATATGCATTTACTTAATTAACTCAGTTTTGTTTAATGAAAACTAATCTAATTCTATCTGCTTACAAATAAAATAATGGATTATGGATACCTTTTAAAGTAAAAACTAAATTAAAACTATGAAGAGAGAAGAGAAGTAAT